CTCAGGCAGGGCACAGCCTCTTGGTTCGGCTATCATCATCTCCAACAATCCCTTCTTTCCTCTCCCTCACCCACCCCAATTCCTCATGCAAAAAAGCAAAGAGAAAACTCTGCCAGTAACCAGATGAATTCTATTCCAAGTATCCCCTCAAAGCATTTCTTCCAGACATTTAGCACTTGCCCCAAGAAGAATTTTATTATCAACAGCTAAGTGGTTGACAGTTTTTCAACATCATTACAATTTTCACTGTAAGTAGTTGAAGTTTGACAAATCTAAACAACTTTTATTTTTTAAGCTAGATATTTCCTTAGCTGCTACAGGCCCCACCTCACTGGAAGTTAATTCCCTGAGGGCACAGATAAGAAACTTCCTTTTCTCACTAACATCCATCCCTTTAAAAAGTAAGCAAGACTGCAGATGTTCAACTTTGAGAAAATGAAACATTATCGCTCCTGGAGTTTTGTGCTGCTTTTAAAACTAAAAATAGCATTTAAAAAATACATAAAGAGAAGAGTCATTCCAGAAGATGATCATCAAAAAACTTCAACAAAGATCCTGGCGCTGTTGCAATTGTAGCTGCATTCATCCCACCGGTTCCTGGACTTGCCATTGGAATGAAGAAGGAGATATCTAAGCTGGCCTGTGCATACAGTAAAACAACAAATTTGACTGGATCTATACTGTTGGTACTCAACCAAGAATTAGGAGAAGTGCAAGTTGCAGCGCTCCAAAATATTGCGACTATAGAGACTATCTACTGTTAAAAGAACATATGGGATATGAACAGTTCCCAGGAATGTGTTGTTTTAATTTGTCTGACTTTTCTCAAACTATTCAAATTCAGTTAGACAATATCCATCATATCATTGATAAGTTTCACAAATGCCTAGGGTGCCTAACTGGTTTTCTTGGTTTCACTGGAGATGGCTGGTAATTATAGGTCTGCTTTAAGTTATGTAACTGTATTCCTATTATGTTAATGTGTGTATGCAATTTAATTAGTAGCTTAAAACCTATACATGCTTAAGTTACTCTACAAGAAGATATGTCAAAGAAATAATCAATCTTCCCATGTTATCTTCCATCTGCTACTCCTATAGCTTTTCTTTTTCCTTCCTAATTACAACCCTTAAATAGAATTCGTGCCTCATATCGAATTTACCGAGTATCATAATTCCTCCAGGTGGTAAAGATACCTC